CGGCCTCGCCGTCGTGCAGGAGCACGAAGTGGCGCTGGGACAGCAGAGGCAGCATCTTCTGGCCGCGCAGGCTCTTCTGGAAGGTCTCGAGCGCCAGGTCTGGGGGAGACAGGGGAGCGGGGCGCGGGCTCAGGGTCCCCGACCTCGCGGTGGCAGGGCTGAGGTCGTGCCGGCGGGAGGGGGTGGGGGAGGGGGTGGGTGGTGAGGGACCGGACCCAGGCGGGGATGAGGCGTGTCGGGAGGCTCGGCACGGACGCCTTTTTTCTGTGGGGCGTGAGGTTTCCACGCAGGCCCTCCGGAGGTTCGAGAACTGGGCGCGGGCTTCTGAATTTGGGGGGCGGGTGGGGTGGCGCATCCGAGGCGGGGCAAGCCGCGAGGAGCCGGTTCGAGGGCTCTGCGGGCTGCACAGGGGCCTCACCCAGGGTTTCCGTGACCACGCCCGGGATCACCTCCTTCAGGACTTCACAGTTGGTGTGCAGGGCGGGGTTGGAGTTCATCTCCAGCAGCCACACCTGCAGGCACCCCTGGTTTAGCGTCCCTCCCCACCAACGCTTGGCCAACAGGAGGCTGAAGCCCCGGTCCCCTTTAGTCTTGTGATCCTGGCCCGTCACTTCTTTTCTGTGGCCTCACTCCTATTTTCCAAGGAGCTAAGACTCTGAGGGTCTGAGGGTCTGGCCTTGAGGGCTGCCCCACTTCAGGATCTTGGCAGCGGGTGGGGGAGTCTGACTGTAGGCTCCACCCCACGGGCTTGCCTGGGTGGTCAGGGTGTACACAGAGGCCCCTGCCTCCTTCCACGTGCCTACCGAGCCCCATTCACCCTGGGAAACCTCGGCAGTACCTTGAAGTTTTCGTCGATCAAGAAGTCACAGCCAATGAGGTCGAAGTAGCCCAGCTTGCATTGCAGCTTGGACTTGACAGCCTGGAAGCAGTGAGCCATGATCTGCTGCATCCGCTTCTGTGGATGGGGGCAGGGAGGCGGTGACCGGATGTCGCCCGTGCTTACATCTCCCAGGCCTGGGACCGCAGACACCCCCACCTGCATTCCCGTCTGTGCCCTCACCTGTGCTCCCGCCAGGTGTCCTTCCTGCACAGCCACACCGCCCACACTTGCATACGGAGTCACAGACTCACAGCTAGAAACTCATTCACTCTTAGTTTACTCCTTCAGCAAACATGTGGAGCTCCTCCCGCATGGCAGGTATGGGGGTTCAAGACTGAGGACAGCTTTGGGCAGATCACTCGCAGTAATGGCGACAGGAAGCAAATGTGGCACATGAATCACTGTATATTTTGTGCAGCACATCAAGCAAGAAGTGCTGATGAAGAAAACGAAAGAGTGTTAGGGATCGGGGGTTCTGGGGGGATGGCTGTAAAAAGGGGTATGGTGTGTTGGGCCTCATTGAGGAGATAGTGAGCGGACTGAGCACAGGGTCTGGGGGTACGGCATGGGGAATTTGCGGTAAGAACAGCTGTAAGTGGGAGCCTGAGGTGTTGGGGGGACAGAGTGAGACTGCTGTGGTTGGAGCAAGCTGGGGGGGGGGGGGGCAGCAGGAAATGAGTCCCGAGTGGTGCCAGTCACATTGTGGGGGCATGGGAAGACGTTACCTTTCATGCTGGAATCAGAGCTGTTGGAAGGGGTGGCACAGGAGGGGCACAACTGATTCATGACCTAATAGGATCCACTGGCTGCTACGCTGAGAGAAATGGAGAAGCCATGCGGAAGTTGTTGGAATAATTCGGGTGGCTTGGGCAGGCAGAGGTGGTGGGTTGGATTCTGAACATATTTTGAGGTGGAGCTAACTTGATTGGTTGATGAATGGGTTATGAGCTGTGGAAATAGTTATCCCTAAGGGTTTGGTCTGAGATTCTGGAAGGATGGAGTCCCCATCAGTTGAGAAGAGGAGGACCATGGAGTCTGAGATATTTAGGAGCTTGCCGATGGGTGGGACAGGCCCTGGGATCTACAGCTCAGGAGAAGGACCAGGGCCAGATGTTTAATTGTGGAGCTAGGAGACTTCATCCCAATGGGTACAGATAAAAAGCAGGGCTCTGGACCTCAAGAGAGCAATAGTTAGGATGGGGGGCAGGGGAGCAGCACAAGGGGCCAAGAGGGAGCAGGCGAAGTCCTGGAAGCCATAGAGGTAGAGCACCAGGGGGTGAGCAGTTGTGTCCAAACTGGCTGACAGATGAGAGAAGAAAAGGACTGGGAATTGACCCCTGGGTTTGGCAACAAGGAGGTCACTGCTGACTTCAATGAGTATTTCAGTGACACACTAGAGAAGCCTCACTGGAGTGGGTTCAAGGGAGGCAAGGAGGATATCAGCAAAAATGGCAGAGGAAGGACATCTGAAAATAAGCCAGTCCATAGAAGCCACCAAAAAAAAAAAAAAAAAAAAAAAAAAAAAGAAAAGAAAAGAAAGAAAACCTGGCAAAGAAAATCATCAGAATCAACTTTTTTTTTTTTAATTTTTTTTTCAACGTTTATTTATTTTTGGGACAGAGAGAGACAGAGCATGAACGGGGGAGGGGCAGAGAGAGAGGGAGACACAGAATCGGAAACAGGCTCCAGGCTCTGAGCCATCAGCCCAGAGCCCGACGCGGGGCTCGAACTCACGGACCGCGAGATCGTGACCTGGCTGAAGTCGGACGCTTAACCGACTGCGCCACCCAGGCGCCCCTAGAATCAACTTTTTAAGAGCTCTGGAAATTAACCAAAGGCTTGAAGCAACCTGAGGACTGCACAGGAAAGAAAAATCTTGAATCTTGGTAAGAACAGCAAGCTTTGTAGCATTTTAACTTGACCTGGTTTTATCCTCTACTTCCCAGCTCAGTGCTAGCCTTGAAAAAAGTCTGCATTCTCAGTACTGGAGGTAGCAGAATGGACCTGACTTGCAAAAAATTGTAGCTGTTTGTTGTGATCTCTCTGCTGCTTCCCCCTCCCCACCAAAAGACCTCACTTGGAAAGAACTAAAGGAAAATATGAGAATGATGTCTTACCAAATAGAGCATATCAGTGAAGAGACAGAAATTATAAAAGGAAACATACAGAGATATGGGAGTTTAAAAGTATAGTAACTGAAAAATGAAATTCACTAGAGGGGCTTAACAGTAGATTTGAGTTGGTTGAAGATAGGTCAGTTGAGATCATTTAGTCCAAGGAACAGAAAAAAGGGAATGAAAAAAAAAAAGCTACAGAGACTTGTGGGACACCATCAAGCCAACACACATAACGGGAGTCCCAGAAGGAGAAGGGAGTATGAGGCAGGAAAAATAGTTGAAGAAATAATGGTAAAAAAACTTCCCAAATTTGATTAAAAAAAAAGTCTACGCACTCAAGCAGGTCAGTGAGCTCCAGTTCGGATAAACTCAGAGATCCTCCCTCCGTACCATAAGCAAACTTTCTAAAGACAAAAAGAGAATATTGAAATCAAGAGAAAAGTGATGAGTCACAAGGGTGCTTAATAGGATTGACAGCCAACTTCTCATCAGAAACCATGGATTCCAGAAGGCAGTGGGATGACACATTCAAATGCTAATGTGTGCCCATCAACACAGATTTAGAATTACTGCTTTATTTAGTTGTTTTTTAAATAAGAGAAAAAAAGTAATTACCAAAAAATACATTAATATGGCCTTTTACATTTAACTATGTAGTTACCTTTATGAGAGTGCTCTTTATTTCTTGTGAAGTCAAGCTACTGTCTAGAGTCCTTTCATTTCAGCCTGAAGGACCATAGGGCAGTTCTACTAGTGATAACTTCTGGTTTTTAAAATCTTGTTTTTTGAAGAATAGTTTTGCTAGATATAGAGCTGTAATTTGTGAGAATAACAGCATCAAGGGATGTAAAGAACTATGTAGGAACAATAGGTTTTTTTTTTTTTAATACTATTGAAATTAGCTTGGTATTAATCCAAACGAAATTGTTATAAATTAAGATGTTAATATTAATCTTCAGGGTAACAACAAAGAAGATAATTCAAAAATATATAGTAAAAGAAATGACACTAGAAATTGTACACTAGGAAATATGTATTTAGCACTAAATGAGGCAGTAATGGAGGAATTGAGAAGCAAAAAAGATATGACATATAAAAAATAACTATAAAAATATAAGATGTAAATCCTACCTTATCAGTGATTATATCAAATGTAAATGGATTAAACTTTCCAATTAAACTAGAGAGATTGGCAGAATGCATTAAAAAACCCTTGATATACTGTTTATAAGAGACTCACTTTAGATTCAGAGACACAGGTTGAAAGTGAAAGGATGGAAAGAGATATATCATGCAAACAGTATCAGAGAGCTGACATGGCTATACTGATATCAGAGAAAATAGATTTTAAGACAAAAATTGATACCAGAGAAAGGAAAGGACACTGTATGATAGAACAAGATGATGTAATAGTTATAAACATACATACACCTAGCAACAGAGCCTCAACATACATGAAGCAAAAACAGAATTGAAGGGCAAAACAGACGATTCAATAATAATATTTGGAGACTGGAATACCCCACTTTCAATGATGGATAGAACATTTAGATAGAAGAACAAATAGATGGAAGACTTGAACAACACTACAAACCAAGTAACCGTGTCGGAGACGTCTATAGAATACTCCATCCACAACAGCAGAATGTACATTCTTCTCAAGTGCACATGGAACACTCTCCAGGGTAGACAGTATGTTAGGACATATAGCAATTTCCAGGAATTATTAAGGGATTCAAATCATAAAAGTATGTTCTCTGACAACAATGGAATGAAATTAAAAACCAACAACAGAAAGAATATTGGAAAATTCACAAATATGTGGAAATTAAACAACACACTCTTTAGTAACAGATGAAATGAAAATAGAACATACAAAATTTTATGAAATTCAGTAAAATCAGTGCTCAGAGGGAAATTTATGGCTGTAAACACCTATATAAAACCAGAAGAAAGATCTCAAGTCAACCTTAAGATTGAGATCTCTTCAACCTTAATAAACTAGAAAAAGAAGATAAAAATCCAAAACAAGCAGAAGGAGGAACACCTGGGTGGCTCAGTCGGTTAAGTGTCCAACTTCAGCTCAGGTCATGATCTCACAGTTCATGGGTTCGAGCCCCGTGTCAGGCTCTGTATTGACAACCCAGAGCCTGGAGCCTGCTTCAGGTTCTGTGTCTCCCTCTCTTTCTGACCCTCCCCCACTCATGCTGTTTCTCTCTCTCTCTCTCTCTCTCTCAAAAATAAATAAACATTTAAAAAAACAGAAGGAAGGAAATAAAGATCAGAGTGACTATAAATGGAAGAGAGAATAGAAAACAACAGAAAAAAATAAATGAACCCCAAAGCTGGTTCATTAAAAAGATGGACCAAATTGATAAACTCTTAGTTAGACTGGCCAAGAAAATGGAGAGAAGACTCAAATTACTAAAATCAAGAAAGAAAGACCTTACACAGAGATGAAAATGATTATAAAAAGGATTATAATTGTTTGTAGAACACTATGAACAGTTGTATTCCAAGCAAATTAGATAACTTGAAAGAAATGGACAAGCTCTTAGAAAGACAAACTAACAAGCTTGATGCAGTAAGAATCAGAAAATATGAATAACCTATAACAAGTAAAAGTTGAGTTGGTCATAAAAAACCTTTCCACAAAGAAAAGCCCAGGACCAGGTGACTTCACTGGTGAGTTATTCCAGACATTTAAAGAATTTACACAAATCCTTCACAACCTTTCCAAAAATAGAAGAGAAAGAAATACATCTGAAACCAGACAAACATACAAGAGAGTGCTACAGACCAGTATTGCTTATGTGTGTAGACACAAAAATACTCAATGAAGTACTAGTGAACTAAATCCAGCAGCGTATTTAAAGGATAATATACCATGTCTGGGTGTGATTTATGCCAGGAATGCAAGAGTGTTTCTACAAATGAAAACCAGGTAGTGTATTGCAACACATTTATAGAATGAATGAAGTGGCAGCAATCAAAACAGTGTGGCACCGGCATCAGGACAGACACACCCACCAATGGAATAGAATTGAATAGAAATAAACCCATACATATCTGATCAACTGATTTTCAACAATGTGCCAAAGGTGGTGTCTTTGACCAGTGGTGCTGGGAAAGCTGGATATCCACACACGAAAGAATAAAGTTGAACCCCTACCTCACACCATACAAAAGTTAATTCAAAATGGAGCAGTGACCTGAGAGCTAAATGATAAAACTTTTAGAAGAAAACACACAGGTACAAATCTTTGTGACTTTGGATTTGGCAATGAATTCTTATATATGACATCAAAGGCATGAATAACCAAATTAAAAATAAACAAATTAGGGGCACCTGGGTGGCTCAGTCTGTTAAGTGTCCGACTTCAGCTCAGGTCATGAGCTCATGGTTTGTGAGTTCGAGCCCCATGTCAGGCTTTGTGCTAACAGCTCAGAGCCTGGAGCCTGCTTCAGATTCTGTGTCTCCCTCTCCCTCTCTCTCAAAAATAAATAAACATTAAAAAAAAAAAAGAAAAAATAGACAAATTGGACTTCATCAAAATCTAACATTTTGTGCAAGAAAAAGGACATTATCAATAAAGTGAAAAGACAATAACAGGAGAAATATTTGCAAATCACATATTTGATAAGGGTCTAGTATCCAGAATATATAAAAAGCTCTTATAGCCTAACAAAGAAGAATGGACAAATGATCTGAATAGAAATTTTTCTAAAGCAGACCTGCAAATGGCCAATAAGCATACGAAAAGATGCTCAACATCAATCAAAACCACAATGAGACCCCACTTCACACCCACTGGATGACTAAGAAAGAAAAAGAAAAAGAAAAAATAACAGGTGTTGGTAAGGATGTGGAGAAATTGGAACCTTTATGTATTGCTGGTGGGAATGTCAAATATTGCAGCCACTGTGGAAAACAGTTTGGTAGTTCCTCGGAAAGTTAAACCTAAGTTACCATATGACCTCACGATAGCATTCCTAGATATATACCCAAGAGAACTGAAAATATGTTCATGCATAAACTTGCACATGAATATTTACAGCAGCGTTACTCGAAATAGACAGAAAGTGGAAACAGCCCAAATGTCCATCAGGTGACAAATGTTTACCAAAGCAAATTGTATGTCCCTGCCATGAAATAGCGTTGAGTCACAGAAGGGAATAAAGTACGGGCACATATTGTATGATTCCATTATTATGAAATGCCCAGAACAGGGAAACCCATAGGGACAAAAGTAGATGAGTGGGTGCCAGGGACTGGAGGGAGGTGATGAGAGTCTGATGGTGGGTATGGGGTTTCTTTTTGAGGAATTAGGTGGTGATAACTGCACGACTTTGTGAATATGCTAAAAACCACTGAAGTGTACACTTTAAAATGGTGAACTTCATGTCATGTGAATTGTCGACAGTGAGAGAAAGAGAAAGAGAAAGAGACAGAGAGAAGCTGGAGCTCCTCTGAGTGGCCAGCCTCCACACCCACAGCACACACGTAGACACACATGAGGCACACTTCCATGCAGGTGCATGCCCTCAGGGACTTCCGAGCACCTTGTGCCCAGCACCTACCCCTCATGTACCCTAAGGGGTCTTGACCCTTACCCCCTCCCCACAGGCTGGCACCGGGAAGAAGCACACGGACCGTAAAGGTAGTAAAGACCCAGTCCCTAGGGAGTCCCTTGGTCTTCCGGAATTTGTCGTTGATGTAGCGGTTGAGGTGGTCCATGCTCCATACCGTGTCCTCCTTGAGCAGCATGTACAGGGGGCTCTTCTTCTGCATGAACTGGGGGGCAGTGCAGCATCTGGAGCCCACCACTCCAGAACACCCAGAGGCCCTGCCCCTGCTGAAGGCCCCTAAAGAGAGCCTCACGCTAACCCAGCTACCCAGTGAGTCCACAGAGGTCCTGACCACCCCAGGACACCCTGCGGTGACACTGCCTGCTGAGACCCTCCCCAGCACTTTCTTCCATGAGACCCTCTCAACCGTCAAGTCTCCCACAGATCCTCATGGAAGGCCCCCACCTAGATCCTCTCATGAAGATCCTTCGGTAGAGACCTCTGCCTATAGGATCTCTCCACGGAGGTCCTCAGAGACCTCATTTCCTACCCCTACCCACACCCCATCCGCACCTAGAGGGAACCAAGCTGGGGGTCAGGGGCGCAGGGCTCTCAGTCATCAGTCATTTCACCAGGATGCCCTTCCCTGGCTGAAGGTGAGAGGTGGTGCCGACTGCGAGCAGGGCAGCCCGGGATCACCACCAGGCCTGGGCCACCTCTGGGCCCCTGCCACCTCTGGGTCTGAGCTTCCGCCTATAGCTGAACTCTCCTCTGCGTCCCAAGCAATGATCTTGTCCCAAAGCTGCAGAGAGGGCCCTCATCTGTGGGGTGCCCTTACCTGGTTGGTCAAGTGGCCACTGAGGTCGCTGGAATGGGGGTCATAAAGGCTGAGAGTGAGGCGGGCATAGCCGTGACCAAAGAAGACCATGTACGGAATGGCACAGGCGATGAGCAGGTAGGAACGCACATCAAACTTCTTCCCATCCAGTAGCAGTGGGTTCTGGATGTACCTGGGGGACACATGGGGGCTGAGCACATGGCTGGCCTATCCTGTGTCCCCTTGGCCCCCCAGACCAGTTCCTCAGCACCGCTTGTCCCAGGTGTGATCTGTGGGCCCTCTCTTCTGGCTGAGTGAATGTGCATCGTTAAGGGGACATTTCTGAGCCTGAACAAGTCAGGGAATTGGGAGGGAGGGTCTGGCCCCTGAATCTCAGCCCACTGCATGATCTGGGGTGCCCAAGGGGCAGGAGAACGTAGTTGTGGCAACAGCCACCCTGGTGGGTGTGGAGGTCCAGAGGGACCTTTGTGAGGCCACATTGCCACCCATCCACCTCCCCATGTGAGGCTGTGAGTCAAGACCCTGCCCAGGGGCCCAGGGAGCAGGGGAGGGGTGGTCCCTCTGCAGCCTGCAGGCCGCGGCTGGCTGGGCTGGGGACAGAACAGAGGCTGGCCTTCCTGCAGGAGCAAACTGCCCGAGCCCTCTCTGCCCTGCCCCGTGTCCAGGAGCCTGTGTCTGTGTGTGTGTGTGTGGGGGGGGGGCATCTCTATCAACCCGGACGACATGTGACACCCCCACTTCTGCTGGCCACACAGAGGCCCAGCTGGGGGCACCGCAGCTTTCCATTTCCAAGCCCGCGCTCCCAGGCACCAGCGGGGCCCAGGGTCAGCGCCACCCTGACCGACGCCCTTTGTGGTGCCCTTGCCCAACACCTCTGCACGACCCGCGCCTGAGGCGCCCGGAACGGCATCTTGCGGTAGATGGGGTCGTCCTCGATGCTCTGGGTCTTGACTTGCAGGGCGGCGACTTCCTCCTGGTTCCTGAGCAGGAAGATGCCTTTGCCCTGGTTGGAGGCCGTGGGCTTGCAGATCCAGGTCTGATTTTCTGTGGGAAGAGCCACCTGAGCTCCTGGCTGGCCCCGCCCCGTTCTGACCGCGCCCAGCCACGCCCCCAACCGCCCTCCCGGCCATGGTCCCGCCCCCTACCAGGCTCCGCCTCCACAAGGTCCGGCCTTGACCCTTCACCTTGACCCATCGCGTCAGCCTCAGCCCAGACCACGCCTACCTGGCTCCACCCTTCTCCATGACCACGCCCCCGCCACGACTCCGCCAGGCCTGACCCTGCCCTAATGGAGCCAGGTCCTTGGTCCGTTCCTGAACCTCTCTGCCCAGAGCGGGCCTGGCGTCCAGTGACCTCTCACCATCAAAGAGAGTGAAGAAAGCCTCTCTCTCGTCCCTGATGTCCAGACGGTAGGTCTCTGGGAAAAATTCTTCCATTTTCAGGACTCTGGCGGAGCAGGGGGGGTGGGGAAGACACAGGGAAGGCTGTCCCCTCGCCCTAGACTAGCCAGCCTAGAAAAGCCAGCCTTCCTAGGGGTCTGACCTGGGGGCAGCTGGAGACACAGGTCCACTGGAAGGCTGGTTGCCTCTGCCAGGAGCACTCTTTTCGGGGTCCTTGCACACCTGGCTTCTCTACGGGCTGCAGGCTGCCTCACTCACATCCTGGCCCCTCTCCCACCTCCTTGCTGTTCCCCGCGCCCCCTCAGGCATTGTGAGTGGACAGTTCAGAGCTGTGTCCCCAGGCTAGGACAGTGCCCAGCACGCAGTGAATGGTCTGCATGGGTCCCTGAGCACCCCGGCCCAGTCCAGACCTCTTCCCCTGGCTTGGGGTGCCCTGCAACCGCCAGGTTGTCCTTCAATTTAGGCAGAATGTCTCCTCCCAGCTGGGCTGAATGCTGCTACCTCTGTGGCCCAAAGCATCCTGGGCTGGTCCACGTGAGCTCCTCAAGGGCGGAGGTGGTGTCCTTTCTGGATCTGTACCCCAGGGGGACACAGGGCCTGGGCTGAGCGGCCACTCGGTAGTGTGTGGAGAATGGATGGATGGGTGTCTGGAGAGGTGAGGAGGCGTGGGTGTGGATAGGTGGGTGGTTGGGTAAATGGATTTTGGATGGAAGTAGGTGGGTGGATGGGCAGGTGGTCCGGTGGGTAGACAGATGCTTGGAGGCGATTGATTAGATTTGTTGGCGGAACTGGGTAGGATGGAGGTGGACGGCTGGACACGTAGATGTAAGGTGAGGTCACGGATGGCCAGGTAAGTGGGGGGGGGGCCGTCTGCCTGGTGGAGGGCGGACGGGGGAGGCGGGTGGTGCACGGCTGGTTGGATGGGCAGGCAGATGAGCGGACGGTAGTCGGATGAAGACCCACAGCGGCTCAGGCAGGGCTGTGTGGTGGGTGGGGGGAGGGGAGCAGGTGGCAGTGGTGTGGGAGGTTCTGGGGGACGCATTAGGGTGGGTGGACCGCGGCGGGTGTGTGCACAGATCGCTGCCTGGTCCGGGGGGTGGGCAGATGGAGTGGGCGGCAGGTATTTGGGGGTGCATGGATGTAGGTGAACAGACAGAACGTGGAGTGGGCTGGTCCCATGGAGGGTGTTCAGGACCAGCGGCTGGCACGTCCGTCCGATGGATGGTGGTGCCGCTGAGCAGAGGGCGACGGTGGGTTCGCGGGATGGGGTGTGGCGGGGGAGGACACGTGGGTGTGCGGTGAGTTGGTGGTGGGTCCCAGAGGGCCGGGGCAGGCTTACTTGGCCTGGGCACACGGTGATGTCTTGTGGGTCCTGCTCACGACCCTCGAGTACTCCCTCAGGGCACTGAGCAGCCCAATCTTGGTGGTGAGGAGCTTGTTGTTGGGGAGCTGGTAGAGCAGCTGTTCGCCTGGCGGGTGGAGGCCCGGCTGGCATGCGGGGCTGCGGGGCCACCACAGCCTCCCCCCGCCCCTGTGGCCACCACCTCCCCGGGTGGAGGGCAATGGCACCACCCGGCCCCCGGCTCTGGCCCGGGGGGCTCTTGCAGACCGTGCCAGATCCCGCGGCCCCTCCCCTGCTACCTTCCCGGAAGCTGTAGTAGCTGTCTCTGCACTTGACCTCGCACCACTTCAGCTTGTAGTCCTCCCGCCGGCTGTCCTCAATGCGCTGCCAGCCCTTGCCCTTGCAGTAGGAGCTGATTCTGTGGAGGCACAGGGGCAGCGGTGGCCGCGGGGGCCTTGGGAGCCTGGGGGCGGGCAGGTGTGCCGGCGGAGGGGACGTGGGGCCCTGAGGGCAGTGGAGCAGGGCCCAGCCTGAGGCCCCCACTCACATGGAGGCCCCGTTGGTGCCTCCGATGTAGAAGTAGGGCCCTTGCCCACTGCCGTGCAGCTGCCTCTCCCCCTCCGGCAGGTGCCTCTCCAGGAGAGAGGCCTGAGGCCTGGCGGTATCAGCAGCGTCCAGGAGGTCTATGGGCAGGTGGCGGGGGGGTGGGGGGGTGCGGGGCAGGGTGTCAGAGGCTCTGGCCTGGCTGGAGGGCTCCCGTCCCCTGGCCCTGCCCCTGCCCCAAGCCCACCTGCGTCTTGGCCCGACTGGCTTGGCAGGTGCAGGGGCTGCTCCTCTTGGCTGCTCCCCATCGGTCTTTTGTGGGCCCAGCCTATGAACGGGGCGGGGTCCGAGGGGGTGGCTGGGGGAGGTGCCCACAGTGAATCTGGCCATCCTGCCCATTTCTAGTAGCCCCTGGGCAGTACCCCCGGCCGCCTGGGCCCATCTCAGTCCTGACCAGTGGGCCTGAGCCTATCTTGGGCAAGAGGGGAGAGTCATCACCAGCCAGGGCCGGCCTTGGAGAGGGCAGGGTCGCTGCTTACCAACAGGCTGGGGGCTCCGCGTAGGGGAGAGCTAGGCTGTGAGGCTGCAGCTGGGGGGAGACGTGGTGCAGGCACATGCCCAGGAGAGTGGGGGTCACAATGTGTATCAATGATGTCATGGGTGACCCGTGTCAGGCAGGGGAGATGGGCCCAGGCATGTCCTGGACAGTGGCTGGGTTCTGGGCCAGGCAGGGGCAGTGCCTGCTACGGCTGCCCCGCGTGGTGGTTCCTCCAGACCGTGGAGCGCTGCTGTGTCCCCTCTCTGTGCCTGCTCCGACCCCGGCTCTGCTGTCCTCTCTCCTGCTCAGCTGGCGCAGACCCCACACCCAGTGCCTGGCCTTCTCCTGGCCCCCCTCCCAGTGAATGGCTATATGTGGTCCCCTGATGGGAATGCCTTCCCTGGGGATGGGGTGCCTGTCCCCAGGGAGGCACCGGACAGGCCCAGGGCTGCATTCACCCGGCACCTGGGTGTGGCTCCGCTGGACCCCTGCAATCCTGGACCACTTGCCCCTCTTCCTGCAGACGTGGGTCCTAGTGGGTGGTCCCCGATGATAGATGAAGCGGGTGCGGCTGCGGGCTGCAGGTGTGGGAGCACAAGGGCGGGGGCAGCTCTGGGAAGACACCACCCCCACCCCTCTGTGGGACCTTTGGGCAGTCCTCGGTCCTAGCCTCAGGGAGCGGTGCCTCCCAGGGTCCTGGACTTGGGCCTCTGCTTGTGGCTGGCTCCTGTCTCTGCGGTGACCGTGGGGCCCGGTGCCCTGTGGAGGCAGGGTCATCTCGGCATCCTGTTTATTCCAGGCGAGGCTTTCCCTGAAGGGACCATGTGTCTGGCATTGCCGTGCTTGGCCTCGCTGGTGCCGGCTGTCGGGTCTCGGGGGGTCTGGAGGGGCACCCTGGCCCCAAGTGGGTACCCCCTCGGAGCTGAGGGTGGCACGTGTGTCTGAAGTGGGACTGGGCAGTGAGGTGCCTGGCAGCATCTTCACGGCTGCTCTGGGCCCTGTCCCGAGACGACGCCCCCTTCTGAGTGCCCTTTCCCTTGTGGCCAACTTGGGGCCATTTCAGGGAATTTTAGCTATTCTTTGATGAGTCTGTCCCGGTTTGGGGGCTGCTTGGGGGGTGAAGACTTTGGAAAGGATTGAAAAAGACTAACAGTGGGGAGGCAAGCACACTGTGGAGTTGGCAGGACAGAGAAGGACAAATCAGGTGTCGGCAGGTCACTATCCAGAGAGGACAGTCACTCTGCAAAAACACCAGCTGGTCACCCAAGAAATACTTTAGTCCCCCCTTAGGAGAGGAGAGGAACAAACTGAAGAGCTGTCAACACGATTATGGGAGGTGGGCTGGGGTTGGGGGGAGCCTCACACCTCTGCTGAGGGGTGGGCTGAGCACGTGTGGATGGCCCAGAGCCCCTTGCCCCAGCCGCGGCCCACCCAGAATGGGAGGGTTCCTTGGAGGGTGCTGAGTGTGGGGGCTGGACCTGGTCCGGCATGGCTGGGGCGATACAAGCCTGCCGAAAACAGGGAGAACGCGAGCATGTGGGTGCGTGCACCCCAGCCCCCTCCCATGTGTTCCGGGAACCCAGCAGCAAGTCCCAGGAGTCCTGCTGGGGTGACCTCCCCCAAAGGTACTCATGTCCAATACCATCCCTCAGCAGCTTGAGTGAGTGGCCATGGGGTCAACAGGCATCTGAGGGAGGCCCCCCAGGTGTGAGTGGGAGCGCCACGCGCACAGTCACGCACGTGCGCACAGGAAGTGGAAGAGGTGGGGAGAAACAGATGACCGGGAGTTGAAGGAAGGCAACCCCTGGAATGTGCTGGGTTGTGAACGGGAGAGCCGTCGCCCCTGAAAGAGGGCTGGATGCCACCAGGACAAGGGGTCCAGACTACGAAAGAGCTCGTGGAAATAAAAATGCCACAGAAGGGTTGGAAATTCAGGGCAAGGAGATTGTCCAGGAAGACACAAACATGGGAGTGGGGGGAAAATGGAGTTGAGCTGGCATCTGTGGGGCACCCGGCACCGGACTGCCAGGAGCCCTGAGAGGCAGAAGGGTCAGAGGGGCTACATCCAGGGCCCCTGGAGGAGCATGGTCAGAGAAGTTCCGGACATTTCCCCACAGGGAAGTTCCTCAGCAGCTCGCCTAATCTCTCTGTGCCTCTCTTTCTTCGCCCGTAAAGCAGCCCCATCAGGCTGCTGTCCCTGCTGCGAAGACAGAGGGCTTATTATACACATGACACGTGTCAACGTGGGCTAGCGGTGGTAATGGCGAGGAGGACGTGGCGACATTCGGGCACTAGAGAACGGCCGGAAGAGAAGCAAGTGCACCACGGGGCGGTGGTCGGCTCCGGAGGGAGCAGAGCGTGTGCAAGCCGCACCTTCCACCGCCCCGAGTGGACGGGGAACTTCCGCAGCGTATCTGGAGGCTTGGCAGCGTGGGCGCCCTCTGCAGAAGTAAGCGCGGCCGCCACGCCTCCACCTGGCTTTCCTAACTCTGTGCGGGATCCCCCTCCGCCCTGGCTTTCTGCAAGTTCGAGTTATACCGCTTCACTTTTAACTTAGCAGGACCCACATTGGTACCTGCTTTTGCTAACTGAAAGAAGTCCGAAGAGGCTCTTTGCCTTTACGGACCAAGGCGAAAAGAGAAAATAGCGTTCAGCGGCTTGTTTTGCAGTGTGCCCTTACAGAGGCAGCGGACAGCTGGCCGGCCCGCCCAGCTCCTTCCTAGGAACCGCCCTCAGCACCCCCTGTACAGACCCAGAGCTCTGAGCTGTGTCTGTGAGGATCTGGGCTTTATCTCAACTTATGTTGTGCGTCCATTAGCAAGATGTACCCTAAGGTATCAGAAAAGCCCAAGAAAGGTTATTTTTTGGGTCTGGACGCGCTGACATTTTTTCCCATATGCCTCTTTGCTTTACAGCGTCTTGGCTTATGAAAGCGTTCACAGGGTTGCTCTACTGATGGTGGGAAAACCTGTGTTTATTACATTCACAAAGAAATAAGCCGTGAATCTTCATTTCTTGTCATTCAAATTAACAAAGGTTAAGAGAGAAAAAAGAAAAAAAGGCCCCCGGTGTGCACACAGGTGGGGACATGTGACGTCTGTGGCTGGCAGGGGCGTAACGGGTGGGGGTGGGAGGTGTGCATGTCAGACCTCCTGGCCCGCGAGCCTTCTCTCTAGTGCCTGCACTTGTCAGAGTGTCATTCTAAATACAGATGCAAAGCTTTATGCTCAAAGACGTTCACGGAACGCATTTATCACAAGAGTCGCAGGATGGGAGCCCCCCACAGCAGAGGATGGCCCCCACATCACGTGCGGCCTGCGGAAGCCCGGGGCAGGTGAAAGCTCGACTTTAGAGTAAATTTTGAAATAAACTTTTTACCTGGTCAGGTAAAAAGACTGGCAGGAAGCGGCACCCCGGTAGAGGATGGAAGGCAGGCCCTGGCGAACCTGGAGGAAATGTTCAAGGAAACGAGAAGACGTCAGTGTCCTGCCGCGCGTCTTCTCCCCAGACACACGTGTCATCGTGGGTTGCTTGGGAGGTGCTGACATTGTTTGATGGGCTGGTGCCTCCCGGCTGGGGGCGGGCTGTCTGGGAGGACGCCCTGTGGGGAATTGGCCCAAGGAAGCAGACCTGGTCCTGGGCAAAGGGGCTCGTCCTGAGGAGCCAACCCCCCCAGGAGACAGGCTCCTTTTGGCCCAGCCTGGGGGTTTGTGACCCTCACGCTGTGGTGCTGGGGGGGTGGGGCCTCTGCAGAGGGGGCTCATCTCAGCCAGGACGCCCCTCTCCCCACCCTCCTTCATGTCCCTTCTGCTCTTGACAGAGAGAACTGAGAGAACCCACAGGGTCCTTGGCAGCCAGGTGGGTAGGGGACATGGGATGGTGGCCCCAGCCCTCACATTCAGCGAGGACCTGTGCCGGTGGCCCGCCTGTCCCTCTTACCTGCCCAACAAGGTGGTGTAAGCCCTCTGCCGGGGAAACAACAGTGGTGGCCTGGCAACCGTCTCTGGGCAACAGCCACCCAGTGGCCCAGAGGCAAGCAGGCGGGAGGGGCAGGAGGCCAGGCTCCACGGGGAGCTAGTGGGGGGGGGAGGGCTTTGGTGGGAGGTGGGGTGGAGCTATGGCTGGAGCAGGGGCCTTATGTGCACAGTCCCCACACGGGCCTTGCCTCCTTCACACGATCATCCCTGAGCCTTCTGAAGACCCCAAAACCCACGCCCGGAACCCCAGACCCCACCCCGTAAAGGTTTTCGCGTTCCCTGTTTTACGTGCTCTGTTTCATCTCCGCTTACCACAGCCTCTCATGTGGTGTCCACCGTCCAGCCACGTGGCCTCGCCACCCTCCAGGGTCTTGTGTGGGTCAAGGGCGTCTCTGCTTAGGGTGCCTTCACTTGCTTCTTGCAGGGCTGGATGGTGTCCCCCCAAATGTGTCCATGTCCGAAGCCCCAGAACCTGCAGATGTGACCTTACTTGGAAAAAAGGTATTTGCAGATGTGATTGAGGGTCTTGAGATGAGATCCTCCTGGATTATCTGGTGGGCCCTAAATCCGATGGCCAGCGTCCTCACAAGAGGGAGGCAGAGAGAGGAGACCCAGGAGAAGTCACGTGAAGATGGGGGACAGAGGCTGGAGTGGTGTGGCCACCAGCCCAGGGACGCCTGGAGCCACCAGAGGCCGGAGGAGGCAGGAAGGACCCTCCCCTGGAGACTCCAGAGGGAGTGCCCCCACCCCCCACCACCTTGATTTCTGACCTCTGGCCTCCTGAGCTGGGATGGAGTGCATTTCTGTTGCTTCAAGCCCCCCAGTTCGTGGCCCTTGGAGGTTAATATACCCTTTAAACCGCTCCTTACTTTGGGTGTCCTGTGGACAACCCCCCCTGTGGAGAGGCTTCCCTGACCCCACGCCGAGGCTGGTGCACTCCCAGGCTCCTCGCCTGCCTGTGCTGGTACTGGGGACTTTCAGGGGTCAGTCCTGCTAGACTGTGGTCTGAGACTTTCTGCCCCAAGGTGGCCGTGGGTCAGCCTGGAGGGCAGAGAGCTCCTGCAGCCAAACCCTTGACCTGAGTGATTAGGGCTAGTGGCCGCCAGCCTGGGCCTTCCCGGGGCAGCAGAGGGTGTGGGGGAGTGGGGCCCTGGTCTTTCCCTTGGCCTGAGCACAGAGCCCCCGTACTTGTCTTCCCTCAGGAACCAGTGTGCCCCTCCCCAGTTTACTTCCAGGGGCCCAGACCCCTTGGAGGGCCAGCCCACCACCCTGGGTCCCTGTGGGCTCTGGGAAGGTGGCCCCTTGCCTGCACTGACACAAGAGCTCAAACTGCGAAACCTTGCCTCATAACCCGACAGACTGGATGGTGTGGGTGCCGCCCCAGCCTTTCCCACAGTGGTAATGGCCTGGGGCTGGGCGCGTCACTGTGCCTCTGCAGCCCGGAGCAGGGCAAGAGGATCATTAACCTGCCATCCCCGAGGGGGCAGGTGGGCAGCTGGGGGCCTCTGAGCTGGGGTGTGTGCTGGGGGCAGGAGGCAGTGGCCCAGCCCTACCTCTGGGGCCAGGGAAAGTGGGGAAGAGCCCAAGCGGTAGGTGGGTAGTTGGCGCCTTGTCTGGGGCCAGGCCGTGCTGCCTGGACGCTGGGCCAAAGTCCTCCTGTCGGACTCCGTGCAGCCTCCGGTACCTCTGCTTGGTTCCCGTGGGTGTCTGCATGGTCCCCACTTGGTCATCTGATCCCAGAGGCCTTCCTGGGCCGGCTTTACCCACCCCCACCCCCAACCACCACCTTCTCGATTGGTCTGGCTTCTTCAACACTGACAGCCCTCGTAGTTGACGTGTCCTGCTCCCCAGCCTCCTCGCACCTGCTACCCCCTCTCAGGGACGTTCCTCCTCTCCCCGGCGTCTAGAACTGTGCAAGTTGGCCACAGGTGCTCAGGAGAGACTTGGTGATGGAAGGAGGGAAGTGGGGGGTGGAAAGGAGGAAGGAGCAGGGAGGGGGCCTCCCCCAGAGCCCCCAGAAGTCCCCTCTTCCTGACTCAGCCTGCAGAGCACTTGAGCAATGTGCAGACCCCAGGACCTACTTGGAATTCTCAGGGGGGAAGAAGGGGCTTTGGGGAGGGGGCAGCCGTGAGACTGAGGGTGGGATCAGCATCCAGAAGTTTGGTTTTGGGGATAGCTCTAGACAGAGGACATCTCCATGATGTCCTTCTCAGAGGACTTCTCACAGGGGAGCAGCGGGGAGCAGGGTGGGGGCCTGAGAGCCGCTGAAGATTAAGGGCTGCCTGCCCCGATTCAACCCCATGTTGATGGTCTGGCACCTGGAAGCCACTCCTTGACTGGCTGCCCAAGCCTCCGAGATGGGCCTGTGGGGACCTGGTGGGGTCCTGAGCTTAGGCCCACAAAGGGACGCAAAGGTAGCTTGTACCTCCCCGCCCCGCCCCTCGTGCTGCCTCGGTGGGGGACAGTGTGGCCCAGGGAGGTGTCTGGGTGCGCTACTGACCACGGGTGTCCTTCCCTGCTCCGCGTTGGGGGTCTGGGGGTCTGGGGCCGTTTCGGTCTTGTCCTCCTCAGGACCCCCCTGCCTGGCACAGGTGGGGGGGTGGTGAGGGCTCTAGGTGGGACTCCAGGGGGCTAGCTGGCTGCAGCCCCCGGGGGTTCTTCTGGCCCCACGGCAGTGCCAACGGCATGACGTCTGCCTCGCCTGCTCGCAGACCCTGACGGCCCCATCCACCCGTGGACCCGAGATGCACAGAAGCCAGCCACGTCCGCACCTCTCACCCTTTATTACACCGATAATCCATTATGGCTGCGTATCCATTTTGACCCCCTGAGGGGTCAGAGGGCTCCCCCGCTCTGGGTCTGGGGTCTGGAGGCTGGGGAAGTCCTGCATGGCCCATGCCCTGTGGGGGACGCGAGGGCCCTGGGCCTGGGCAGGTGTGCACTGCCTGGCTCAGGGCCACTAATGGGCCCGTAAAGGCCCACGGGCCTCGCCCTCCACCCGGTGTCCCTCCAGGGGCCCCTCCTCCAGCGGTGGTCAGGCCATGGATGAACGGCATTACCAGACAGTATTAGACAATGGAACCCAGATCTAACCGTGTCTGGTAAGACGCCCATCGGCAGGCTGTGGCGCAGGCGGCCTCCGGTCAGCGGCAAACACTTCCAGGATGGCAGTGCCCTGCCCTGAGGAAGCAGTGAGACCCCCGACCATCCTGAGTCTGCAGAGTGGCCCCCAGAAGTCCTGTGACCCAAGGCAGCCCCAGCACGCAGCCCCCCAGGTGCGTGTGCCTGTGGGCGTAGCTACGGAGCAAATGATCTGGTTTCCCTGCGCTTGAACGTGAGTATGCTCACTGTGGCACCCTCCCCGGTTCCCTGAACGGCTCTTGGCTGGTTAATGAGTAACGGTGAGGCCAGGGTCAGACCCCTCCTCCCTCCCTAGAGGCCGGCTGGGGACCCGGTACAGGGTGGGGTTCCCGGGGCCTAGGGGGCCGCCCCGGTGCAAGTCAGCTGGGCAGGTCCGGAGGCTGGCATCCCGGCTTCAGATCAAAGAGATAAGACAAAGGGCCATCCCGGCCTCGCCGAAGGCAGACAATGTTCCCATTCTCGACTGTGACGCCGTGGGGACCGGTTGGGGGAGTGGGAGACTCTGTTCTCGTTGGGAAACAGCACAGAATGTCCACTGCCCTCCGACCGTGGGTTTGGGCCGGGGCACCTGGACACACCGTTGTCCTTCCTGCATCCCTGGTTGACCAAGAGAGTGAGTTCCCCTTTGTAGAGTAAGAGTTCTGGCGTGAGAGAGGCCACCGCCCGTGGCTGGCCTCACTTGACTGGGGCCTCTAAGGGTGGGGCCAGCTCCCACAGGACTGGCCATGGTGCCCTAGACGGCCACGGTGGGTGACCCTGTAGGGTGGACAGGAGGGGCTGCGAAGGGAAGGTGGGGGCTGCCTGTTGCCGACTCTGTGCCAGCCAGAAAATGCATTTCCTCAGGCGGCTGCTGACTGGGCCCAATGTCCACTTCTGCTGACAGCCCTGAGTTCAGCCGCGGCAAACACACAGGGGCAGAGCAGGCGGGGCCGGGTGTGCGGGCCAGGGCCCCGGGACGAGGTTGGTGTCCAGGACATGACAGGTGGCCCTTTTCCGGTCCTAATGTCCCGATCCTCATGGTCTCTCCCCGGGGGTCAGAGCACCCTGAGAACTCAGCTCGGGAGGGAGCCAGGGGTCCCCAGCCTGGGCTCAGTGGTACGGCAGAGGGGTACCAACCTGCAGGTGGGGGCTGCCCCGATGCGCCGGGCTGCACAGCGGAGACAGGCTGTCTGCCCAGCCCTAAGCCAGCTCTGGGCCCTCGGCCCGTCTTTGGAGTCCAGGAGCTTAGGACGGTGTGTCCTCGGGCCGCTTCCTGGCAGGCAGGCGGTGGGTCACCTTTGAACATCGTTACCAGACAGTGTTAGAGTCAAGCCAAGAAATCCAGCACTGTCCGGTAAGATGCCCACAGAGGCCCAGGTGCGCCTCGGCCCGAGGACAGGGACAGACACCTGGTGCCCACCCGTGGGCAGGCAGGGTCCAGGTGGGAAGGGGTGAGGATCCCCGGGCAGGGAGGCCCGAGGGCTCCTCCCTGCTTTCTCCAGAGCGAGGAGACCTGGGGCTCGAGACCCAGGACCAAGGCTGGAGATGTTGCCAGTCTGCAAGGTGGCCCGCCTGCCCTGGGGCTGTCTCGGGGCCACCCCGAGGCCCAGGCCGGGCCTTTGCCCTCCAGAGCCCTTTGTTGTGGCCCGCTCAGCCCACACCTGCCGGGTGTGGTGGCAGCACCTGCTGGGGTGTTGTGGGTAGGGCCTGATACCTGAGCGTCCTAATCCAGGATCCCTGGGTGTGTGTGTGGGGGGGGCTCAGTGCAGCTGCAGGACACCTTTCACTCTGGGGGGCCAAGAAGGGGCACTCAGACATGCCTGGGTCCAGGGGAGGGGTCACCTTTCTGCCCCACAGCCCCACCTGGCAGGAGGGGACAGAGGAACTCTGGGTGGGTGGGTGGGCCGACTCAGGGTGTCTGTCGGGGAGCTGGGGCCTGCGTGGGGCCTGCGTGGGGAAAGGGAGGGGCCTGGGGCTGGGGGAGGGCGGCCCCATCGCTGCGTGCAGGGCCCCGCCGTCATCATTACCAGGCAGTATTAGAGACCTGACACCATCCAATGGCGCCCCGGAAGGTGGGGGTCGCCCCCCCCAAGTGGGTGTGGGGGCCCCCCCGGGGGGGGGGGGTGTGGTCAGCAGCCTGAGGCAGAACCTTGTTCGTCCTCTTAGGGCATGGAGGGGGGAAGGGGACCCAGAGGGGTGGGGGCTCAGGAGAGTCCCCGGGCGTCCTGAGGCCATAGTGCTGGGCAGACACAGGGGAGCCTGGGGGGGGGGGGCGGCGGCGCTGGGCCGCGGCACCTGGAAACCCCTAAAGGCCAGGACCACAGGGTGACCTCCTGCCCGGCCAGCCCTGCCCAGCTCGGCGGGGCCATCGACTCTGGACGTGGCCCCAAGGAGGGACAGGGTGTCCTGCCTGCCGGAGGCAAGGACAGAGTGGTCCCAGGGAAAGGTCTGGACATCGGGCCCTGCCCCCTCAGGGTCCGGGTGAAGGTGAGTGCGTCTCAAACCCGAAGGGCTGCTGAGGCTGGACAATGAGCCTCTGTCTCCCAGACGCCGCCCCAATGGCTGTCTCCAGCCCGGCCCCCTGGTGCCCTTGTCAAGGGCGCGGAAGGGTGTTGGGACAAGGATGGGGAGCTGGCCATGGCTCTTGAGGCAGGACGGCACGGGGGGGCCCCTCCTCGGTCCCACCCCAGCGAGCAGGGCGGGAGCTCCCCAAGGCCCAGGCCCTCCGCCTCGCTCACCGGCCAGGTCACAGGTGGGTCTGTCTGCCCGCCCCACTGCTCCGTGGCCCTGGGCTTCTGGCTGCCGCTGGCCGTGAGGTCCGAGGCTGAGACAGCGCTGGGCCTGGAGGAGGGACCAAGGGGGTAACCCCGCCCAGCCTGCGCCCAAGTACAGAACGCAGGATGAGCGCCCCCACCCCCACCCTGTGCCCGTGCGTGCCAGGCCAGTCTCCAGAGTTCAGAGTGGGGTCGAGGAAGAGGACGGCTCTGTGTCCGCACCTGGGGCCCTGCGTGGAACTGAGAGAACCCTGGCCCCCTGCCCTGGGGAGTCTGAGGGGTCCCATCCAACCTCTTGTCCCTTCTCTGTGACGGCTGACACCTGGACCTGGAGAGCGGGCCAGAGCAGCTCCTCAAGTTTTCCGGCACCTTCCACCCACAGAGGCTGTAGAGACGGGGTGTGGGGCCCGTGCTGATTCTCCCCGGGCCACCTGCCTGACCGCAGCAAAGCCTGTCCACCTGCCTAGCCAAGGTTCACCTCGTTCTCCAGATTTGTCCTCAGGAACAGCCAGCATTTCTCAGAGGACCTGACGGTGACACAGGCCCAGCGTTGGGGGGGACAGGTGAGAAGCCTGTCCTCTGCATGGGAAGGCGGCTTCCCAGGAGCCTGGAGCCTCCGGGTGGCCGTGTCCAGGCTCAGAGGGTGGAGCCCACGGTCAGCCTCTTGCCCTGTGCCCCCGTCACCACCTGCCCCGCTCCGGATCCACACCTCACCTTTCCAGGTCTGTCCCACAGACCCTGTAAAATCAGTGTGCTTTAGGGATGCAATTCTACCTCTTTCTGAGCTAGGCGAAACTGTCTCAACTGTGCTTTCAGGGCTGAGTTAAATTTCAGCTCTGCTCTCAGCTGCCAGGCTACAGGGGAAGGCGGTGGGGGCTGGGGGCCCGGTGTTCCTCCCTTGTAGCCAGCCCGCTGTGCACAGACCGGCCTCCCACTGTGTGGCCTCTGGAGCCAGAGCCCGGTGTCCCTAGTGTCCTTGGCCGAGGAGCACCCGAGGCCCCAGAGACCCCACGGGCCCAGAGCTGGCCTGGCGGCAAGCCAGGGGAACAGGCCACCCCAGCTGTCTGCCGCCCACCGGCTCATCAGCCCTGACACTGTCACCTAAGAGGTGAAGAGGTGCACGGACACAGAGATACATGGACAGAGCCGGGGCAGACCGGTGGGCAGCAGAGTGCCCCCTCCTAAGTTCCAGGACACAATCCCACACTCTTCCTGAACTCAGAACCTGTAAATCCACAAGGAGAGACCAGCACCTGGCCTTGGCCTCTGAGTGCAGCTCAGCGTGAGGTCAAGATCCCCGACCTTCCTGCGCCCACCCTGTGCCCATCCTGCGCCTGGGGCAGGTCCTACGGGCAGATACGAAAAGTGGAAATAAACCTTCCCTGTTTCAGAGCGACTAAATGGTGCTTTCTCGGCCCCTTGTTGGCAGGGAGTGAAGCCAGCGTTGTGTTCCCAGATGTGGGGTCTGGTTAATCATCACCGCTCTGAGCAGGCTTAGCTTGGGAAAATCAAGGAATGAATCGGGAGGCCCAGGGCAGCACCCTCCAGGCTCCTCTTTGCAGAGCGAGTGCCCCACCTGCCCAGCCCTTGGCGGGTCCCACCTGGACAGGCACGGGTGGGGTGGGCGGGGAACGCGATCCCAGCGTGAAAAACTAACTTGCCGGTTAACCTGCCTGACGGGCCTTAATCAACGTCGAGGGCCGCACGGAGAACAAAGCGCTGAAACCCAACCCCGTGTACCGCGCTGGCCAGCGGGGCCCAGAGGCCGCGGGGTGGGGGCGGGGTGGGGGCGGCCGAGCGGGCCTGTCCACATGCAGGGCGTCTCTCCAGTGGCCTCCCGGCCGCCATTCCCCGCCATGTCCCCGCGCCCACGCTGGCCCGAACCTGAGAACAAACCGGATGCCCCG